GCTCAGGGGTAGGGAAGATGCCTAGCATGCTCCATGCATCCCCCTCCTCAAAAAAAGTAGAAGACAGTGGTGTCTTCCCTGGTAACCTCAGAGATCTGGGAGGACCAAGCCACTCCTGCTTCTCAAACCTGAAGCCTGAGACCTGAGGGTCATTTCTCAGGGAGGAGATGATGGCTAGAGCCAATCATCAGCCACTGAATGGGCCTCAGCAAAGGGTGATACATTTTAAGATCTTTTTCTTTGGAGAACCCTGGCCACTGGCATTGTAAAAACTCCAAATTTGTATATTTGGTCTTGTCTGGGGGTCCTGGCACAGAGCCCCTAGCACCCTTGGATGTCACATAAGAGACTGTCTTGGGGAAACCACAATCTGGCCTGGGAGGAATAGGGAAGGGCGCTGCTCATCAAAGACCACCGGGGCCCACCAGAAATTCAGGACAATAAAAACCCTTTAGCTTAGAACTATTTAATAAACACTCAATAAGTTTAGCTCCTTGCTGTTTTTGTGCCTTTTCAAAATAACCAACATTCAAGACCCCCTCCTAGTCCTTCAATGTGTAAATGGTTAAACAGCCTGAAAGTGAGGCTTGAATCCACACTCTTGCAAGAGTGCTGCCTGAATACACAGACAGGCACACCAGAGTTAAAAAACTGCTCTTATTCCTAACTCACAAGAGTCCCTCCCCATCCACCATGGCGCAGGATCAGGGGTTCACAGTCTGTCCTGAGCTACTGATCCCGGCCCACACCTGTTACTTCCTCCCCCACCCTTTCCTGTTCTGCCCCTTTCTCTCTCTACATTTCTTTTTGTAGTTATTTATGGACTTTTGGCTTCTCAGGAATGTAATCAAGAACACTTGTTTAGCTATTATCTTGTACCCCAGTACCTTGTCTCTGGTGTGAGTCTTTTTACAGCATTTTAATCTCTGTCTGGGGCCGGGGATTTAGCTCAGTGGCGCGGCTGCCTGCCTCACAAGCAAAAGGACCCGAGTTCGATCCCCGGTACCAAAAAAAAAAAAAGAATCTCTGTCTGTTATTTGACCCAGTTAAGTCTGTGAATAAAGGCTTAAAAGAGTGGTTAATGAAATATGGACCAATTAAAAATATTTGTATCGCTTACAATACTTAAGAAACCAAACAGTATTTTAGCTTTCCTCACCCATCTTAAAGGTCACAGCCGACACTCTGACAATATGGACATTTAACAAGAGAAAAATGTGATGTTTTCTTAATAAAATTTTTATCGGGGGGCATAGGGACATAAAAACAAGATGGGTCACATACCAACTCCCTATGATGAATGTGATCACTATATACTACAAATATGGACTAATAAAAATAAAAATGTATGCTGGTTTAGGTGTGCACATCTATGATCCCAGCACTTGGAAGTCTGAAGCAGCAGGGTTGCTGTGTCTTCGAGGCCAGTCTAGGCTCCACAACAAGACTATCTCAAAAAATAAATGGGAAAAAAAAATTTAACAATTTTACCAGAGGGGCTGGAGATGTAGCTTGGTGGTAGAGCATTTGCCTAGCGTACTTGTGGCCCAGGGTTCAAATCCCAGCACAGATAAAAATTTTCTACCCCAATGTGGTGGCTGCAACCCCAGCACTCTTGGAGGCTGAGGTGAGAAGTGTCATGCATGACCTGAGTGAGACCCACTCAACAAACACACTTCCTCAACAACCAACCAGAAACCACTAAAGGGCCACGCTGCCCTCAGCAAACAGAACAGATGACCATAAAGGAAATTTAGACAGGGGCCGGGGATTTAGCTCAGTGGTTCCGAAGCCTGCCACACAAGAGCAAGGTCCTGAGTTCGATCCCCAGTCCCCTCCACAAAAAAAGGAAATTTAGGACAGGACATGCAATCTCCCCGGCACTGAAAAGTCCAATGTTATCTACACACCTACACTGACTGTCCTGGGAAACTTGTTCCCAAACATTCCACCCCAGATTCCTTAGGGTTACAAGCCCTTTTCCCAAGCCCTACAAAAACTTAACTTCTTCTCCAGCCAAGTGCTGACATCCTTCTCCATCTCAGCCTGTCTGCACCCAACAGAATGAACCAGCTCACACAAAGCCTGGGTCCAGGTCATTTCTCATACGCCATTTGTAACAGGAAGGTCACAAGTTCAAGCCTAGCCTAGGAAACTCAGTGACTTAGTGAGATTCTGTCTCAAAATAAAAATAGCTGGAATGCAAAGGCCCTGAGTTCAATCCCCCATATTGGAAAATGTATTTATCTGACATCAGAACCTTCTAAAATGAAGACCCAAAGACTCAAAAAATGGTATTTTGTTGTTGTTGTTGTTGCTGGGCATCAAACCTAGGGCCTTGAACATCGATGTAAGTGCTCTCTCAGCTACCCTCTCAGCCCCAAACTACCTGCTTTTATGCTAAGGGTGGCTAAAGAACAGACAGCCATGTACAAATGTGACTGGACAAAAAGGTTAGGTCTAACAGGGTTTTGTTTTTTGAGACTGAGTCTACTATGTAACCCAGGCTAGCTTCAAACTCACAATCTCCCTGCCTCTGCTTCTCAAGTGCAAGGATTGAGGAAAGAGGTAGCTAAGGAAATGGCCAGAGAAAAGAGGGCCAGCCTTGTAGCCTGCTTTCTGGGAATAGATCCATCTCTGAATTAAACACTAGTCCAGGACCAGGATCCCCAGTTCTAACTACGATGGGAGAAAGTAAGCAGGTATCTTAGTTTATGCACGTAAGTCTCCAGCCATATGCCTAGTGTTCTTCTGCAACCCTTGACCAACCCCAACTAATTACTGTCATTACTAGGTTGTGTGACAAATGGCGGAGAGGGATGAGACCACCCAAGCAGGCTAGTGGAAGGCAACGGGGCACAGACTTTACTCACCTGGGTGCAGGTGGACCGAGGGCATCAATTAGCTGTCAGTGCCGAACAAAGAAAAGCAGGGCGCTTAATAGGGCGTTGGAAGAGGGGTCTGGCATGTGTGTCATATACAGGGGTCGGAGCAAATATTTATGGTTGGATGAAGCAGTCAAGGCAGATTATGGATGTTATCAGGTGACTTGGCTCTGGGAAGATGTTGAGCTTTGTGGTCTTATCTCTATGTTGAAAACAACCTGTTCTGTGCTCTGTGTTCTGTCTGCTCCGAGACAGCACAACCTGTATCGGGCAGATACAGCATCATCTGCATTGGCTGCCTGCTCTGCTGAGTGCTGAGGTTTTTATAACTCGTCATATTGTAGCTTGGAATTAAAGACCATACTAATTAACCATTTCATGGCCAGATCAAGCCTGACAGGCTGAACACCCCCTCCCCTGTGGGTATCCAATGCCTTTTCAATTTCCTTCAAAGTACTGAAAAAAAAAATAGAGAATGCCAAGTGTGGTGGTGCACACCTATAATCCCAGCATCAGGGAGGCTGAGGCAGGAGGATCACCATGAGTTCGAGGCCAGCCTGGGCTACACAGTGAGTTCAAGGCCAGCCTGATCTATATAGCAAGTGCCTATGTCAAAACAAACCAAAACACCGAAGTATTCAAAGTGTACCAAACTGCCATCCTTTGGGGTATTGTTTTGAACTCTTACATCACTATGGGCAGGGATGGGAATGCTCCCCTACTTCCTGAGTCTAAGTGAATCTATGAAATTAGCATGGCAGGCCAACTGACAGGAGAGAAGTGATTTAAATTTATTATATGTATGGGGCCTCACAGGAGAAAATTGTAAATACCACAATCTGTGAGAGAAGGGAATGTCACATCCTCTTTACAGGGCAAGGGATCCTGGCAGCTGCAGACACCACTGGCTTTGGGAAAAGATGAGTGATCTCTAAGATCTTCCAAGACACTGGCCTGGGATGGGTAGCCTGCTGGGTGTGAGGTCCTTCCGCACTCCCTGCCTGGGCACAAGTCCATCTCCTCCTTCTGCCATGGAATGGGCTGATACAGTCCAGGCTCATGTATATGACGAAGAAAGAACTGTATGCCCAGTAGCAAGTGGGCGAGCAGTGAGATTTTCTGAAGATCATAGGACGCTGTGCTCAGGGCCAGCCTGTGCTGACAAAAGATAAGGCACAGACGGAAAAAGGTGCTGGGGTGCAGAAAAGTAAAAGCACTGCACATTTGTCATAGCACAGAAAAGCAACAGCACAGATACATCACACTTTCATAATTGACATCTTTTTTTTTCTGGTACTGGGGATAGAACTCGGCCCACACTTTCATAATTTAAAGGACATGCACACACCTCAGCCCAGGTGCCTGCCCCTGAATCTCTAGGTGTGATTGTCAGAAATGATTGGGCCAGGGATTTAGCTCAGTGGTTTCGCTGCCTGCTACGCCAGCGCAAGGACCTGAGTTCGATTCCTGGTACCTAAAAAAAAAGAAATCATCAACAGGGTGCTTAGTCATCTTAGGGGCTCTCAACACCCATGCTTGTCCCAGGATTCACTCTGGTTTTAATTAATGCATGACATGTAGTACATATTTATGAACCCTAATGAGGTGGGAGTAGGGTGAAGGTGACTAAAGGTCAGGCTAGGAGATCCAACACTTACGTGGTCTTGCCTAGAGCATCAGAGATCTCTTGGGATTTTGTTATCTTATTTTCCACTTCTTTTAGGCCAAATGGAAGAAGGAATGCCTGTAAAATACTGTTTAAAATTAAATGGATGGGAGTGACTCCCTGGGCTCCATTGTTTCTAATTGCACTAACCCCAGGGAGGGGGGTCTACAATGTTCCCTCAGGAGGGTCTGTCTTCAGGCACATGAGTTCCCCAAAGCCTGTCCTCAGCCCCCTGTTCTACAAGTGCCCTTGGTTCAAAGTTATCAGCACACCAAAAAATACACATTGTGGGGGACTGGCATTTCCTGAACCCCTTCATATATAATGGGTTTTCAGAGAAAGCTTTTTCTTCCATTTGCTATTTTTCAAATGGATTCAGCTCAAGTAATAATACAGCCAAGTGTCTTTGTTACTTTCTCATCACTGAGACAGACTAGCTGACACCACAGTTTAAAGGAGGAAATGTTTATTTTAGCTCATAGTTTGTAGAGGTTTCAGTCCATAGTCAGCTGGCTCCAGGGCAGGCTGGCTTGGCAGAGGGAACTGGCAGTGGTAAAACAGCTCCTGGCATGGCAGGCAGGCAGGCAGCAGAATGAGATCAAGGGAGGAGGAAGGGAAGATGCACCCTTCCAAGCCATGGGCCTTCCGTGACTCACCTCAACCAAGCTTCGCTTCCCAACGTCACATTCAGCTACAAACTCCTCAGTGGATTAGTCCATTGATGAATATCATCCCCCCACGATCCAATCACTTTCCAAAAGCCTCACTTATGAGTGCATGAGGCAATCTGAGCAACAAGAGAAATAGTACTGATTCATATGAGAGGAAGACCGCTGTGGCGGCACACGCCTATGATCCCAGCAACCTGAGAGGCGAAGGCAGGAAGACTGGAAGTTCGAGCCCAGTCCTGGCAATTTAGCAAGACTCTGTGTAAAAATAAAAAATAAAATAAGGACTGGGTAAGGTCCTGGGTGCAAAGGTCCTGGGTCCAATCCTCAGCGCTAAAAGCAAACAAAAATAAGTAAATCCCTTTTTGACACTTGATCTGTTCATTAAAAGAAGTTTTTATACAGCTAAAGAGGTTCACATCCGCGAGGCATGTCGCCCAGGGCTGCGGCCCCAGCGAGCCTAGAGGCTGAGGAGGGCTGCCTGGCACTTGCAGACCAGCGCGATTGAGGCGCTCCGCCGCGGGGGCCTGCTGGGAGTTGCAGTCCAGCGCGACTGAGGGGCTCCCCCGCGGGGCCTGCTGGGAATTGCAGTCCAGCGCAGCTGAGGCGCCGAAGGCAGAAACGATTTCGAATAGGCCAAGGGTGGAAACCAACTGCTGCTGGACCAGGGCTCGTTTGAACCGCTGCCTCCTTGCCTTTAGCAGAGAGAGCTAATGAGTACCTTCCCTCTCCGGTCCCAGCAGCACTGCCTCAGGCCCCGGTTCTACGACAGTTTCGCTCCGTTCCTGGGCTCCTGCACGTGCATCTCGGCACTGCCTGCGGGGCTTTCCGGAGCTCGGGGGCGGAGCTTCTTGGGGGCGAGACGTACGTGAGCGGCGTGGGGGCGGGGCCTGTGCGGAGGGCCGTTCCAGTAGGGCGCTCTTGGGCGATCCACGTGACCACGCTCGGAGGGCGGGGCCTGCGTGCGGGGGCGGGCACGGCGCGGGAGGCTCTGTTTCGGTTTCCGGCCGCGGCGCACGAGGCCGCCCATGGACCGCGCGGCGGTGGTGCGGGTGGGCGCGGCGGCGAGCGCCGGCTTGTGCGCCCTGCTGGCGGGGGCGGTGCTGGCGCAGCACCTCCTCAGCCTGCGCCGGAGGACGGGCCGCAAGACCAAGATCATCGAGATGGTGAGCGCGGCGGCGACTCGCGCGTGGGCCTGCGGCCGCCGTGGGTCGCGGGCTCCTCCGTCGCAGAGCTTGGAGAAGCGCCCGCGCTGATGTTTCCGACAGTGTCTCCCCGCGCGCTGGCGCAGGCTCGTCATCCCAGCCCCGGAGGCTGAGGCGGGAGGGTCGCCGTGAGTTCGAGGCCAGCCTGGGCTACATAGCGAGCCCCGTCTCAAAAACCAAAACCAGACCCCCCCCCCCAAAACCTGCCTCAAAGATGTGCTAGAAGTACATTATAAGTAACGTTCGGCAGCTGGGTTTGTTTAGCTCTGTAATTACCTGGAGCTGACCTAGGCAGGACCAGTCCGCCTGCTTTCCTGAGGCGCACTGTCCTGGGTCCGCCCAGACCGGGTGCTGGGCAAGCGGGCACCTGGGCGAACACCTGGGCAAACACCTGGGTAAACACCTGGGTGCCTGTGCTGCCTAGGTAACGTCGGCCCAGGTTGCGCAGGCGCGCTCCGCTGCTGGAGGTGTGGGCAGGTGGAGGCCCGCCGCACCGGGATGAATGCGGGAGCGTCTTTGCTTTATTAAGTTCAACAGCTCCCACAGATCTCATTCTAGTAAGATTCCTAGATTTTGAGCTAATGTGCTCTTGGGTTATGTAACTTATTTTCTCTGCCTCTGTATTCTTAGCAGTTTTGGGGGCGGGGCGGGTACCGGGAACAGAACTCGGGTCCTTGCACTTTCGAGGCAGGCGGCGGAACCACTGAGCTAAATCCCTGGCCCCTTAGCACATGTTTTTGTCTCTGAAGTTGCCTTTTGTTCACGATACTGTCTTGTTTTTTTTTTTTTTTTTAGTGTCTTGTTTAAAACAACGATTTTCTTTTGCCCCACACTCAGAATTTATAATATATATGTGAAAAAAATTACCTTATCTTCCTGTATATACTTATGTTGTGGATTGGTCTTTCAAAATTCTAAGGAACGGTTCGCCCTCTTTGAAAAATAATGGACCAAAAAAAAAAAAGGATTTGCAAATTAAATGATGTATTTTTTTCTATAGGGAGAATTATGATGCTTTCTCAGTGAACTTTGAATTTTTATTTGGACTCCTTTTATGGACTCTC